CTCCTAGTTTTAGGGGCCCTTCTTCCCCAGGCCCATCCAACTATCTCTGCTTAAGGAAATCTTTCCTACCAAGATTCAACCCAAACCCCATCTTCTGTGGAAGTCTTCAATAATCACACTAGCTTCTCTTAGCTGCTTTCACCAATTTTCAGTTCAAGGTCAACCATACACTGCAGCCCAAGATTAACTGCATGTGCTGAAACCCTAATATATTTGTGACTCCATGCGACTCAGTCTGTCCAAGACATTAAGTACAATTTAACTTTCAACCTAGATTTCTCCCTGACAATATGTGTTGACTCTTTTCTTTCTTACACTTTACTTTCAATATGTTTTGCTCTTCTGTAAGTCTTTGTTCTGATTTTTTTTTTAAATCTTTTTCTCTAGGTCCAACTTTCTCTGTTACTCTCCATTGCCCCTTGTCTGTGTGGACTCACTGCCAGGAATGAAACTGACAAAAGCAAAGTATCTGTAGAGGGAAGAGGAATGAAGCCGGGAGAGGATCTAAGCAAGCAAAATGTAACGTCTCTTGAGGATGCTACAGAAGGAAGAGATGTGAACACTTTGACATGAATAAATATTGTCCTTCCACCATGCTGAGATCATTGGGAGAAGCTCCGAATTGGGTGAGAAACAGTCATTCACTTCTAAGAAGTTACACAAAGTCTTAGCTTTGAAATATTCCAAAGCATTTTATTGTTAGGGCCCAACAGTGTGTTTTCAGGTTGGAAAAAAATCTAGTTCCACCTGGCCTCTAAAAACAGTGGTAACTAAAAAAGAAAAAAACAAAAAACAAAAAAGAGTGGTAACTGAGATGTCCTTCGGGGTCATTGAATGGTGAGATCTTAGATATTTGGTTGTTTAGTCCCAATGCTGGGATACTGACACTATCAAATGGAGGGAGTTTTGTGTTTTGCAAACTGTATGGGGGGAGGGGGCGTGATTCAGAGCAATAGTTAAAGAAGAAGACATTCTGTCTCAGGAGCAAAAGGAAAAAAAAGTGGTCCAGCCTGTGCATAGGCTGCCGTCTTTATTTTCGTATGTGCACACACGCACACAAGCATGCACACACACGACAGGCCACCAGCACTCCATGGCCTACCTTCAGCCCTAGTGCAGATGTTCCCACAGGGGCTGCCCCTAGGCAGTAAGGAGGTAGCCCCAAGATTCCTCAGCTTTGGAAACAGACTCACATACTTTATTCATAGCAGGACATGCTCTGGTTGGCTGCCTGGGGCTTCTTTTTCTTCTTCCTCCTCCCCCAGGTGAGGCAGCCAGCACCTCTCAGGAAGCCTCTCAGAGATGGTAAAAATCCATGCCTCTGAGTGGAAAGAGCTCTGCAGTCTTGTGATTTCGGTTTAAATTCACTGACTAGCTGTGTGATCTTAGGCAAGTCATTAAACCTCTTTTAATCTCAGTCTCCTCACCTCTAAAAGGGGCAGAAAAAATTATTTGCCAGTTGTTGACATGTGCAGTTCTTGGCACCTGGTAGGTACTAAAAGTGCTGTGCTAAGTCACGTCAGTCGTGTCCAACTCTACAACTCTATGGACTGTAGCCCACGAGACTCCTCTGCCCATAGGATTTCCCAGGCAAGAATACTGGAGTGGGTTGCCATGCCCTCCTCCAGGGGATTTTCCCAACCCAGGGGTTGAACTCCCATCTTTTGCTTCTCCTGCATTGCGAGGCAGGTTTTTACCAATAGCATTAGCCCGTACCTAGTAGCTATTACTGTATCCAGGTGATGAAGCGAGGGGAGTCTAGCCATTCTCCTCACTCTGCTTTTCCAGATGGGGTCCCCAAACAAACAGCGGTAACTGTTAGCACATTAGGAAGACAGATCTGCTGAGTCACACTTGGCACTAAACCAGATCCCCAGGTTCACTCCTCTGCACATTAGCCTGTGGGAGAGCTACAGCCGTGGCTGGTCCAGCTGTGCTTGGTCTTGTGGGGCCCCCACAGGCCTGTACCTCAACTTGAGCACAGCCTCCTCTTTAGCCCCCTCCAGAGTCCAGCCACATGGCACACTGCATGAACTATGGGCTTCGTATTGAATCTTCATGAGTCCGCCCATTTTACCTCCAAACAGTCCTAGCAAGGAATGCTGCCCTCTCCCATTTTCAAATGGGAAACCCAACTCTATGAGATGAAAATATCTTCTCTGTCATCACCCAATTCATCTGTCACAGAAGCAGGGTTGAAACCCAGGGTCATTTGAATCCGGAAGCATAACTGACAAAGAGCCTCTCCCTGACTAGACTCTTGCTAGGCTTCTGTAAGCACTCTTGCTAACTGGGCCTCAACCTCAGCCTACAAAAACTACAGACTCTCAGTGTGAATGATGTGGTCCACCCCCACCACATCCGAAGACCTGAACCGACACTAACACAGTTTCTAGCAGCTCAAGGCCACATCCCTAGGATGGCTGGAGCCTGGCGAATGTGCCTGCCTGAGGAAACTCAAGGCTGCCAGAAGTTACTGCCAGTTTATTCCAGCCAGTGCTTCAAGATAGGACCCTGCCTTCCTGTCTCCACGGGAGGCTAAGAGCCTAGCTTCTTTAAGTGCCAGTTAGCAAACCCAGATAAATTTCATGTGGACTGGTGCCCTCCACCTTTCCACTTTCTGTTGATTTGGCAGGAATTTCCCTGTGTAAACCCCGCCATTGCCCCTCCCTGCTCTTTCATTCTCCCCCTAAGATGCCCCCTGTACAAATGGAAGCTGAGGTCAGTTCATGCTGGGCCCTCATTCTTACTACAGTAGAGTATAACTGGTTAATATTTGTCCTTAACACTTTAGTGTCTGTGTTTTTCTGTGACCGCTCTTTACCACTAGGTTATCTATCTAGTACTGATAAAAATTCCCTGAAATCATTTCTCTATTCAGCCATCTTGATTAAAAGAACTCTGCTCCCAGAGTATTTGTCCAATAGATGGTCACAGGTTTGGACCCCAGGTTGCTGGAGCCTGGGACTCTCCCATCTTTCTGCTGTGATGCTTACATGCATTAGCAAGTTCAATGGTGGGGAGAGAGCCATAGCCTTGTGGCACCATGGAGGGCAGTATAAATACCAATCCAGAGATCCCAGAGATGCTCAACCAAAGCTTCAGTTCTGGGCTTGCCCTCCAGTTTCCCTGTGACTACGGAGAGGCCAGTGGCAGCACAGCCCTGGCCTCCCCAAGGCATCCCTGGGGAACTCAGAAGCCCTGGGTAGTGACAGGAGCCCCCTCTTAGAAGAACACTGGGGACTCTGGAATCTGAATGCTGGCAGAGAATGCAGGAGCCTATTCTTTCAACATCACTTCCAGTGATATTCTCCTAAAGGGGCCCCAACCAGAGGAGTTCTCTGGAATCCAGTCTCTTTCTTACAGCCTTTCTAGGACTATTCTGGAATTATCTGATAGTATATGAAATCAAGGCTGGGAGGAACACAGGCAGCCATGGATGCCAGGACCACACGTAACTGCAGGGAGCATGAGGTGGGGGAGAATGGGAAGAGAGGGCTAGAGGTCCCATCACAGCTGGCATTCTAGATGGGACCCTGAGCCCTGCAACTGTCACGGGACCACTGGGGAGGGCTCAGTCCAATGGGAATCTAGTCCCTGAAGCCAAGAGTTGAGCAGAGGAATTGTGTGTTCAATTGCTTTGAGACAGAAAGTTGATGTGAGAAAAAATCATTAGTATGTTATGATGACATTTTGTTCCCATACCCAAGACAGGTTAATAAGAAGGCAGACCAAGCCACATAGGGATGGTGGCAAGAGATTAAGTGTGCCCCAAATAAAGCTGGTCAGGCACCCTCATCACCCGCCAAGCTTGTTCATGCCCAAGCATGCATCTACAACCACACACAGACTCCTACTCCAGAGAAGCACACTGCTGTCACAGCACCACATTAGTTAGCACATCTGGCCAACCAGAAATGCCAACTGTTTGCTGAAGGTAGGGAAAAAAAGAGAGATAAAGACTGGGTTAAATTTCCTTTATTCTTCAAAATTTTTGCTCATAACTTGTTAAGACCCCTGCCCCTCATCCCCCACCTTTCTTTCTTTTTTTTTTTTTAATTTTAACTTTGTGGGCGGTTTTTTTGCAGCCCTCTGCAGCATTAGGGAACTTTGAACCAGCTCTAATCCTCCTTCATTCCTTCTTTATCCTGGTGAACTTTGGAGAACAGAAGCAGCTTTTAAAAACTCAAATCAAAGTGTCACTCTAAGACCTAAACTTACTGTTTTGTCACGTTTAGAATCAACACCAAACGCCCCACCAAAGGCCCCAAGGTCTCACATGGCCTAGCACCTTCTACCTTCTGGTATTCTAAACCCAGACACACTGGGCTGCCCTGCAGGGCCTCTGCATCTGCTATTCCTTCTTCTGAAGCACCCTTGCCCATTCTTATCATGCAGGTCTTGCTGAAATGCCTCTTCTGGAATGAGTTTTCCCTTCCTGAGCCCCCAGCTCCCATCCCCTAGCAGTGCCTATTAGAGCACCCACATCACCCACCACAATCTTAGATACTCACCGCCATCCCCTACTTGGGAGAATACCCACCTGGTGCAGTTACAACCACACGCCTTCAGGGTACCAGGGAGTCAAGGGGCCAAGGGCCCCCTGGTTATCAGCAACTGGACCAGTTTGTTTTCCTGCACATTTCCCAAGGCCTAGACCAGTGCCCAACCAAGAGGAAGGGTACAGTTGGCAGCAGTGAATGGAACTATTTCACAGGATGGGAGATCCTGGATGAGGGGCTGCTGGAGGCCGCATCTCTGTGACTCACATCCTTTAAGCATGCTCACTGTCCCACCCAGGGCTTCCCCTTTCCCAACAGAACCTGAGGGAGACGTGGGGTGGCCCCATAGCTTCTATTTTCATCCCTGCAGCTGCACTAGTTAACAAGCAAGGTTAAATTAACTTCAGAGGCCATGAGAGAAATCTGAGGGTCACGTGATACACGTGCCAGAGCACTTCCTTTTTCAAACCCCTCCTTACTAAGACTCAAAGCAAGAATTCAGGCTGCTAGAACCCTGCCACAGTTTTCAAAAGGTTGTTTGCCAGTGTGGCTGGTGTTGTGATAGCAATTCATTGTGGGGGAGGAGTTGAATTTAACTATCTTTGTGAGCAACAAGCAGTAGAGGAGGGCCTGCCTCTCTAGACCACTGAGGCAAGGACATCTGAGGAGCATTTTCACAAGCCCCCCCATGGCTCCCCGATACCCTGAAGGCATGTGGTTGTAACTGCAGCAGCTGGGTGTTCTCTCTGGTAAAGCAGTTCCTTGAGGGGGCCAGGTCTGTAAGGCAGCAGACAGTGAAGGGTGATGCCTGCCCATGTGGTCTGACCTGAAACGGGCAGCTGTTGGCCACATCATCCCAGATCATGAGATTAGCAGACCAGGCCCTAAGAGCCAGTGGCTTATCTCTACCCACTGCCTGGGCTCATGGGCACCCATCCCTTGAATTCAGACCTCAAGTGAGCAAGCATGTCCACCTTTCTCTGTGGGTAAAGTACTGCTCTCTGGATTGTAATGACATACTGCCCACCACCTCCTCTCCCCACAAATATTCTGACTACAGAGCAGATGGAGGATGGCCCTCACACACCAGAACGCCATGGTCTTTTGCTGACCTTTAGATGAGTAGCAGTGAGGTGGCTGATTTGGGACCTACTATGGGTCACTGCGTCTTTGCCCTCCATGCGTCAGGTAGGCTGATGCACTGGGCAGGATCTTGTGTAAACTTAAATATGACATTACTGAATTACTGACATAGCTGACATTACTGAAACAGGGGTTGAAGTGACAGCCTTCATTCTCCATTCTTTTTATATGATATAGAGCGTTCATTATGTCTCTGAAGTATGCATTCTTATTCTTTCATGTTTCCAAAGTTTCTTTCTAAATTAACATTTCAGTGTTCTGTGTTTTGGATATTCAAAGAAAGAAAATCAGATGGCAGTGGCTTCATGATTTGGGTTTCATTCCTTTTGCCCAGGAGTTCTCCCACCCCAGGTTTGTAGGCGGCAGCCATCAGCTGGGAGAAGGGGTAGGGAGGGACAGAGCAGAAGGCCCTGTATTGGGAGCAACCACAGGCCCAGCACCCCAGCAGGACTCCTAATATTCATGCAGATGCCCACAGCCTTTGCACATCACAGCCAGAGAGAAGGGGCCCGGCTGCCCATCCAGCTCCATCCTGGCCTAAAGACCAGCTCTTCAGGCTCTGTGCCAAAACCGACTCAGCTCTTGGTTACTGCCCTTCCTCCTTGCCTGAAACAGGCAACTCCAGGCTTCTTACAGAAGTGTGTTCTGTGGGGATCCACCAAGGCTGAGTTCACAAGGGTCCCAGGACAGAGCTGCCAGGCAGGGTGCATGGAGCACACATAACAGGCCTTTGAAAGCACGTCAGGAAATTTGGGCACGAAAAGCCTGGCGGGGATGATCTGGCTCCGGCAGGTCTAACTGCGGTGCTTCAGCTCCATCTTGGCCACTGCTGCTCGGTGCACCTCATCAGGGCCATCAGCAAAGCGCAGGGCTCGGGCTCCAGTGAAGAACTGAGCCAGAGGGTGGTCGCTGCTCAGCCCTGCTGCTCCGAAGGCCTGGCAGACACAGGGCAGGAGAGGAGGAAGCCCTGGGTGAGCCCTCATCCCTGAGAGCCCCAGGAACAAGTGCCTGCTCCTAAGATGTCAGGACAGCTCAGAACAGCCACCTTTCAGGGATGTCCCCTGACACCTGTGTGACAACAGTGTTCTGGAAGAGTCCAGATGGCTAGGGGCCTCACTAGCCATCCCAGGGACACCAGACTCCCCAGATCTGCTCCACTAGGTGACATCTGCTATCGGGAAGTCCCTCTCTAGGGACCATGGATTGAGATTTGGGAAGGAGGCATCTCTATGTGGTTAGGAGGCTGGGCCTGGTGTAAGAAGGACCTAGGTTCCCCAAAATCTGAGCTCAGCTCCTTGCAAGCTGAGTGACCTTGGACAAATCACTTTCCTGTGCTTCTGTTTCCATGTATTCAAAATGGAAGCAGGAATAGGACCCCTCATAGGGTTGTTCTGAGGAGGGAAAAGGACAGTCATGTATGGGGGGTGTGCAACAAAGGACAGCTATTAGTTTACAGGAGGTTGGGCACCTGAAGGAGAGGAATTCTGAATCTTGTGAATGATTCAGAAGAACTAGCGATCCATCATCTGCACTCACCTGAATAGCACGGTCAATCACTCGGGAAGCCATGGATGGGGCCACCATTTTAATCATGGCAATATCCAGCGCTGCAGCCTGCAAGGAAGAGGAGCTGTGGTGAGGAGGGCAGACCCCAGGGCGGAACATGTGGAAGATCGATCAGTTTCACAGGGAGAAGTAGAAATAACAGCTTAGAACAGAGACCTCAGGTCCCTCCCTCTGGACCACAAGCCTTGCCTGGTGCATGGACCCTGCCCAGCACCAATGGGGTGGAGGGGCGGGGGGGGGTGACGAGGCAGGTGACTCGGGGTGCTGCGTGGTGTGGTCAGTTGCCTGGTCAAGGAAAGACAAGGAGTACCTTCCCAGGCGACGGGCAGGATCACTGCACACACAGTGCAGCGTGGGGACTGGCCTGAGCCTCCTTCAGGGTCATGATCAGCTCTGTATTCAAAGGGAAAGGTGGAATGAGGCCAGCCAGGACTCTGGGGGATTGAGGTACAAGCATCTTCCCTGAGTTCGGGATTTCAATCAAAGCCCCTGAGAGCTCTCATACCTGGCACTAGATGACCAAGATACCAGGAACTTGAGCCTGGGTCACCCCCTGTACCGAGGCCTCTCAGCTAAGGGTTGGAGACCCGGTAGAGAGATCAAGAAGGCAGGGATTGGCATAGCATCATGCTTGGTGTTAGGAGGCACTCAGAAAGAGCCATTTAAGGAATAATGTCACATTGAAAATAAAGCTTCTCCTCTGGTTAACTCCTGGCTTATTCTCAAGTTTGCCTGATGCCTGGAAGACCAGGTAGGTCTGTAGCTCAGGCAGGGGCCATATGGCCCTGTCAGGCCTGCTGACAGATGGTCACTGGATCAGTAAAACAGAAAGGTCAGTCCTCTTTATTGTACCTTTTCCATTTTTGAAAAGCTGCCCAGGTAGTTCCAAGGAGAATTGAAGCAGTTATTTATGTGAAGGAGCCAAGTGCTTTCTCTGTGGTTTGCTGAGTGGGGAGGGAAGAATCAGCATCAAGATTTCTGGGCTGGCATCCCTCACCTCGGGACCTGTCCTCTGTGAGGTCCCTCGGCCTCCTACCTTATTTCCCGCCACATCCATGACGTGGGCAGCTTTCAGCACCAGCAGCCGGGCCTGCTCGATCTCCACGCGGGAAAGGGCAATGTCTGCCAGGACCGTGCCCTGCTCTACCAGGGGCTTCCCAAAGGCCACACGGGACTTCACCTGTGGACACAGGAGACAGGATGGGAGGCATGGATGGTGTCCTCTGGGGTAGGAGCACAGGAGAGGGCGGCGGGGGAAGCTAGACACGTGGTAGCTGCACAAAGTATCTGCACAATCCCTTTACACCAGCCATTCTGCACCATCTGGGCAGACCTGGCCTCCAGGCAGGACAGAGCTTGATCTGAGACGCTTCTGGTCCAGGGCTGCTCTGGGAACCAGGCAGTGACTGTGGGCGCCTCACACAGGCCAGGAGGGCGCCCTCTACTGACAGCAGGGCCTGCTTCACGTCCTGAGGAACTCTCAGGGGCAAAGTCTGGGTGCCAGAGCCCTCTTGTGGGCAACTGTTATTGCAATGGGGATTCTAGAGTCTTTGAAAACTACAATCAATCAGAAGGACTCAAGGGATCTTTTTTCTGCCCCACTTTTTAACTAAAAACATAACGACACCAATCGTATTACTAACGGCAGAAAAGTATATATTTTCAGGCCAAGAAAAAAAGAAAAACCAACACAAACACATGGTATTCCATCATCTAGTCACACTTTAAATTTTGGATACTTCTCTGTATGCATAAACATGCATATGCATTTTTTTAATAAAAAAATGGAAGCATTTCCTTTATAATGGTTTTGTAGCCTGCTTTTTTTTTCATTAAGGGTTATCTCTTTATATATATTAAGAAACAGATTTCTACAGCATTGCTTTGGAATTTCACTGCATGCCCATAACCAGGGTTATCTGACCAAGCTCTACTTGTTAGCCTCATAGGTTGTTTCAAAGTATTATAATCATGGCTGTGGTGAACCTCCTAGTATCAAATCTAATTAATCCTTATGATCAGGTCCTATGAGTGGGATGGCCACATCAATACTTGGCACCTTCTAAGACTTCTGGCATGTACACTCAAGCTGCTCTGCAGGATGAGACTAGATATTACACCTGAGCCCTTAAAGGGAGCATTTTCTTTAACCAAAAAAAAAAAAAAAACAATCCACAAAACAAAGAAATTGGACAGTCTCAAAAAAAAAAGTGTGTGAATCTCAGATTTGCTCAGTGATCTATGTGCACATGACCATCTCTGTTCTTTGGACAGTATCTTGTGAGATATTTGGGGGGCTCAAAGGTTCCTTAAGTTTTGTTTGCAAAATTGGTATCACTGATCTGAATTACCATTGCCAGCAAGAGCTTTCATTTATGTGGACTTGCAACCTTCGAGGGGTCACAGAAGAAGAAAGTTTTGGGTGTGCTGGGGGAGGAGGATGGTGCAGGGCTGGATGCTGGAACCCCAAGTTCTCCATGTTATCTGGTTTTTAAAGATGAGCTGGTAGCAGAAATGGTCATCAGTAGACCATAACCCTGTGGATCTTGGAACCTTGCCCTCTGCTGCCACAGAGCCCGGCCTTTTCCTTCTGTCCCCTTGACAGAGCGAGGCCCATTCTGCTCTGAATTTGAAACTTCAGCAAAGTAAAAGAGGCAGAGCAAACAAAAGGACACAGCTTCTTGTAAAGAACATCACCTTGCTTCACCTGCTAAGTCTGCTCTCAGGAAACAGTTAGGATTAGAAGTCTGAGAGGAAGACAGATGGGTTGTTCTGGTCCAGACACAGGTGCAAAGGGAAGCACTCACTCGGGCCTTCATGAGCGCCAGCGCCCTCTCCGAGCAGCCAATCAGCCGCATGCAGTGATGGATCCTGCCGGGGCCCAGTCGGCCCTGGGCGATCTCAAAGCCCCGGCCGGGGCCCAGGATGATGTTCTCTTTGGGCACGCGCACCTGCTCGAACAGGACTTCACCGTGGCCACCTGAAAGACACAAAGGGTACTCCAAGTGATCTGCCTACACATTTTCCTTGGATGTGTTTATCTCATCTGCTGGCAATATTCCTGCCCTTTTGTAGCCGTCTAACAGGAATGTGGTTGAACAGTGAGGGAGAACAAAATGGAGCCTATTAAAAATAGAAAATAAGTCACTAATTTACAAGATAACAAATTAATAGTTTGGCATTCCTTTTCTAAAACATGACTCTAGGGATTTCCTGGTGGTCTAGTGGTTAAGAATCCACCTGCCATAGGGACATGGGTTCAACCCCTGATCTGGGAAGATCCCAAATGCCTCAAGGCAACTACATCCATGCACCACAATTACTGCGTCTGCACTCTAGAGCCCAAATCGCAACTACTGAAGCCTGTGCACCTAGAGCCTATGCTCTACAATAAGAGAAGCCACCGAAATGAGAAGCCCACACACCATGAGGAGGAGCAGCCTCTGCTCAGCACAACTAAAGAAAGCCTGAAGGCAACTATGAAGACCAGGTACAACCAAAAATAAAGATGTCTTAAAAAAAAAAAAGTAACTCTAACTTAAGTTGGAACTCCCTAGCAGTATTGTGACTCTAACAGTGTAGTGACCCTATGGGAACTCTGAAGTCAAAATGTGGACATCATCAGCAGAGAGAAAGAGCCCCTGTGAGAGGACCTCCAGGCCGGGAAATCAGCCCTCCACACTGAGGTCTAGAAGAGAAGGTCTAGAGGCCACTTCCTGCCTGCATCCTCTGTGGCCTCCTTACCTCCTAGACTCCTGCTTATCTTCTATGATTAGAAGGGAAAAAAAAACAAGAAACAACAACAGATGAATGCCTGTCTGAAGCTTGCCTGCATGGTTGATACTCATGGATGGAACTGAAATGCAGGAGCACGTGGCCTCCCAAGTGTCCTCAGACTCTTACAGGTGTTACTTCTGCACTGGAGCAAGGGCTGCCCAAAGCCTTTTCCCCAGACCCAGACCCACACAGAGAAGAGAGCTGTTCCCGAGGGGCCAACCTGGTGCGTCCTCCAGCCCATACACCGTCAGAGGCCGGATGATTTTTATCCCTGGGGTATCCATGGGAACCAAGAGCATGGACTGCTGCTGGTGGCGTGGGGCATGTGGGTCTGTTTTTCCCATAAACACGCAGAGCTGGCAGCGAGGATCCAGGATACCTGCCAGGAAAGGAGAGAGACAGACCCCCATCATCTGACACCAGGGCCATCAGCTCTCCTTAAACACTCAGTCCTGGCCCAGAGACGCTGAAGTCAGCGAGAAGATGGGGCCCTTTAAGATGCCATGTGATCAGATGAGCCTTGCAGCCCTTTGACCAGCAGTAAGAGCAATTGGCTTCTGTCCCAGTGAGGAAGGAATCCAATATCCTAAAAACAGTTGATTTGTAAAGCACCACATCGGGTTGAAAATATAATTTGGAGAAAAGAGGCTGAAAACTGCTACTTTATCAGTGGCAGCCTGTTCTGCTTTGTTCCCAAAGGAAGTGGAAACATGCTGGCTTTGGGCACAGGCTTCAGAGTCAGGCCAGCCTTGAACTCTGGGTGGTTCCCTACTTGCCAGTTGGTGGCTAGTACCTTGGGCAGTGACTCAAGTCATTTCTCCATCCTAGTTTCCTTCCCTGTAAACTGGGGATAATACCACAGACCTTCTGGGGAAGGGTGGAGACTCAGTGAGGGAAGGTCCCCACAGCATGTACTGGGGGCCCTAGAGAGTTAAAACCTAGTGAATGATAGGATTATCACCAGCCCTTCTGCTATAGCACAGCTGACCTCACTAGAAGGGGACACCATTGAGGAAGTGACCTCTGGCCTGTCTAAAGGGAGACGCCCACGGCAGAATGAAGAGTGGGGAGTAGAGGAGAGATTCCTGGAACTGTCACTTGTGGGGTCACCTGGAGTCCATGTAGAACCTTTGGTTCTCTCAGGGTTTGTTGCCTCTTCTGGGAACAGAGACAGAATCTCCTTTGTGTTAACTGGAAATGAGGCTAGTCCCTCTCACAGTCTCTCACACAACAGCAGGGCAGAGAAGACATCTTATCAGGGCAGACCCACATAAATGTGATTGAAAAATGAATTTCAGGGCAAATACCTGTGATCCACCACTTGTGACCATTGATGACATAGAAGCCATCTTCCTCTCGGATGGAAGACTCGATATTGGTGGCATCGGAGGAGGCGACCTGAGTGACAGCACATTCTGATTAGAGCTGGCAAGGGTCCCGAGGTCCCTGATGGCAGAGCCCAATGGGGCCGGGTGAGGGTCTGGCCTAATGAGAGCGCCTGTGGGTGACCCAAGGTAGGTACCTGGGGCTCAGTCATAGCGAAACAGGAGCGAGCCTTTCCCTCTAGCAACGGAATCAACCAGCGGGCCTTCTGTTCCTCAGTGCCGTATCGAACCAGAAGCTCCATGTTCCCCGTGTCTGGAGCAGAACAGTTAAAAATCTGGAACGAAGAAAAAGCATAAGAGTGACTTCCACTTCCATATTTAAAATTCAAACATCTCAGAAGCATGGACTCTTTCATATCATAGGTCCTCTGACACCGTCAGGAAAGTCCTTCCTCTCCCCAAGGATATGCAAAGACCCACAACATTCTGAATACAGTAGCTCAGAGGCCCCTAAAACTCAAACCTTAGAGCTCCTAGGGGAGAGAAAGTCGATTGGAGCTGTTGGACTGAGGCTCCACAGAAGCCAGCCAAGCTGTGCTCAGCCAGGCCCTGACTTCCTGAGAAGACACCACCCCTCGCTCCTTTCCTGCTCTGGCTCCAGCCCCCTGCCTGCAGTGTCTTCACTCTTAAGAAGTCTGAGTTTGCATCAGAGCTCCTGAGTCCAGTGCTGCTGCAGGGAACCCCGTCAGCCCAGGAGGATGGCTGAACTCTCTGGAGGACAAGGATTTCCTCCCATGCTGAGGAAGACAGTAAAGAAGGTACCTCGGGAGCATACAGAGATGTGCCCATGACCTCACACAAATGTGCGTACTCCATGTTGGTCAGCCCTGCTCCATATTTCTTCTCGGGATCAGTCTCCAGGGGTAGAAAAAGGTTCCAAAGTCCTTCAGCCTTGGCCTTCTCCTGTCATGGCAAAAAGAAGTCAGGCATTCACACAGGGTGGGCTTCATTTTATTTTGGCCCATGAAAAATAGTAAGTCCAAACCACCAGGCTGGATACAACCCTACAGATCTGTGGCAGGAGAATGGGAGGGGTCCGGGGACAGACCACTCCTAACAGGGATAGTGCAATCAGTTCACTTCCCCGTGTCTATATCCCAGATGCCCCACTAGCCCACTTCCATCACTGCTAGCATCACTACTGTCATCACCACACAGCTCAGCTAGACCTCACATCACGAACACAAGAGAGTGGAAGGTCCTTTAGCAAGTCTGCAGGGAACCAGCCCAGGAGATCTGGCGGCAGTCTCAGCTGCTTTGAGGATAATATGATGATGATGGGTGATGAGGTACCTAAGGAGATCCCCTGTCCAGCTTCCTTCATAAGGCACAACTTTGCTCCTGGGTAAGTAACCCTAGGTTTCTGAACACAGCTCCTGACGGAAACCAGGGAGTCCCGTCTGGGGATCAGGAACCCAGGCCGTGAGTCAGACTACCTGATTCAGACCCTGCCCCACCACACCTGTTGGGAGACCTTGGGCAAGATGGTGAGCTCCCCGTGGCAGTTTCTTCATCCCTGACAGGGGACGGCACCAACCACCCTACCAGTCACAGCTACTGAGTGAGACTAGGAATGGAGGTGAATGACTGGAAAAAGGATCTGAATGGGAAGATTATCAGGAGTTCAGATTAGAGAGAGAGGCTCAGAAATGGATGGGAATCCAGGCAGCTTAGAGAATGGCAGCAGGACAAACACTCAGCAGTCCTGTTGTTCAGTGAGTGAGTGCCAGCTGTTTTCTCTATTGAAAACACTTCACTCTTCCGGTTCCAGGTAGGGACCACCTGGCTGCCCTAGCTTGGCTCCACATGCCCAGTTCCTGCCCGGGTGTTGTTGGGTAGGTTGAGCTGGCACCCTGACTACAGCTCTGCCAGACGGGTCCAAAGGCAGGGAGGGAGGCACCCAAGTTACTGGGGTGCTACTACCCAAAGAAAGGAGAAGAGACACTAGGTAGCCAACCTATGTCCAAGACACGCATCTCACTAGATTGTTGGAAAGATTAATTAGGTAACACAGAGAACATAGAGTGTCAGACTCAGAAGCTGGGGCTGCAATAAATATTAGTGATGATGGAAAGTCTTCCCACTAGGAGGGCACCACCTGGCTGGCTCTTCCATTACATGGGGGCTGAGCTCTAGAACATATACTTCTAGAATCAGCGCATACACTCGTCTCATGACTGTGTTAAGCTAATTAGCTGAGACTGCAGTGACCAAGGAGAGGAAGGACAGATTAACTGGAACAAATGAAGCAGGAAAGGAAAGGAGAATTAGGAAAAGAAGCAAGGGAGTTCTGAGAAGAGGAAGAATAAGGAAATGAATAGAATCATCTCCTTGTGGGAGGGGAAAACACATAGATTTGAGCCCAGAAGATCTGGATTGAGTCCAGGTGATACTATTTCTAGTTGTATCCCTGGACAAATTTGATTTCTTATCTTTAAATTGAAGTTCATAATGCTTACCTTAAAGGATTTGTGAGATGCAATATAAATGCCAAATACTTCTCACTTATGAGTAGTAATGACACTTTGGATAAAAGCTGTGAGCCATTCTTTCACCACTCTCCCCAATATTCTTAGTTGTCCTTATGATTCCCATTCAGGTATGACCACAAGTAGAACATTCTCTAGGTTTTTCCTATACATTCACTTAAAACTAGAGGTATTCATGGCAATAATGTCTGCTTTTCCAACACTTCTGTGCACTGGACAGGTACATTTAATGAGTGAGGATTAAGTGTACAGGTCAGCGGGTGGGGTATAGGACATTTCATAAGGCAATGGGCATGTAAAATGGTATGCACCTTACTGATGAAAAAGACTTAAAATGGTCTCATTCAGGAATTCCCTGGCAGTCCACTGGTTAGGACTCAGTGCTTTCACTGGGCGGGGGTGGGGGGAGGGTGCCAGGAGGATCCCTGGTGGGGGAACTAAGATCTCGTGTGCTGTGGGGCAACAGAGCCGGCAGCCTGCAACTAGAGAAGCCGGAGCACTTTAGGGTCCGTGCACTCTAGAAGCCATGGGCCACAACTACTGAGGCTGTGTAAGAGATGAAACGAGGGAAAAAAGTCAACGCACACCACAACTAGAGAAAGCCCATGCACCACAATGAAGACCCAGCCAGCCACAAGTAAAAAAACAAACACACCATAGAAACAGTAAGTGGACACAGAAGCATTTAACAGCATTTGATGCACCTTGCTTGCCCAGGACCCAAACCTCTTCTTATTCTGGGGTGCTCTCTCACTGCAAAAATTTCAGTGGCATCAACATGTGAGCATGGGACCTACACATGACTGGCTGAAGATTCCCACCTCAATCTTAAGTGTCCTGGGGAAGTGTCCAGTGGAGACCTCCTGGCCATTGCCCTAGTGACAGCTGTGGCCACACTCCTGGCAGCCAGCATTCCCTTGGCTTCTACTGTCTCTTTCAGCTGGCTCTTCAGCCTCCCTGTCCATATTAGCAGCTAGCTGCTCATTCTGCTGCTTTGGTGACTTGGAGTGACCTACACTGAGATCCCCACAGTGTCTCTCAGCCAGGGGCAGGGCAGCCAAATTATGGTGCACCCCCAATGTATCCCCTTGGGGGTCCATCTCCAGGCACTGACATGGGATACATCATTAAATAACATAAGCCAGTGGGAGATTCAAATAATTGAATAAAACAGTTTCATTACAATAGGATGTGGGAATATATATATATATATATTTCTATATATATTATAGGAATAATATATATAGTACTATGTACTAGAAGAATGGAACTGGAAGCCTATAAATCAAACTGTTGACAGTCACTATCTCAGAGGCCAGAGAATTTTATAGAACTCTTTCTATGTCATGAATTCTTTCTAATCTTGCCATGTTTGAACTCTGGATAATTTGCAACAGGTTTGTTACTATGAAAGTAGAGATAATGCCAATTCATTTTAAAGTAGGTCTGGTTGCATCACAGGCAGAATATGTGCTCCTGAAGACCTCAGATAACTTAAGAACTAACACAAGGCAAGACCAATCCTGAAAAAGAACAGTAGGTATTTCCATTATCCACTAAACTGACGTCACTGTGTGTCAGGAGCATAAACATAGTTTAGAGTTGACGTGGCCCTTTAGGTTTAATGTTATGGATTCTTTAAAGAGAGTGTCATTTAACTGATGCAATTTATATCACTCAGTCTCAAATTTACATAATTCAGACATTTATAAAATGAGTCTACCTGCCTTAGAGTTAGCAGCCACAGACTGCATTCCTCTGCCTGGGCTGAGTATCAGGCCGAGACATCACACAGAAAGAGCAATGAAGTGAAACTGAGTGATCTAGGGCTGACTCTTTCTAGTGGTGGTGGAAAGCAGAGACCACTGAACTCAACTCTCCCATCTCTTCACTGCCTAAAAAGGAACAGATATGGCCAGTGGACGAGCTGAGGTTGGGCTGTGCTAATGAAAGGCTGCTTTACCTTGAGATCTTCGACCAGCTGGGAGGGGGTCCACCTCTCGGCCGAGGACTGGTGACGCTGTAGCTCCGGCTCAGCAGGGTATACATGTCGTTCCATAAACTCCTTCAGGCGCTGATATAGCTCCCTGACTCGGGGGGAAAGGCCTTCTGGAGAGAAGATCAGAGCTTCCTTTGAGGCATGAGCTGGAGAAGAGTCTGTGGAGGTGACATAACTCCTCGTGCCTGGGGTCCTCAGCAGGGACCATGTGTGGTGGGACCTCGTTAATGGTTTGGTGGCTGGCATTTCCTTAAAAACCCGGAACCCCTCTTTGATTGCGAAATCCCATGCCAGGTTAGACATAAATTCTGTCAGCTTCCCAGTTTGTTTCGCAGTTGCCGAGCTTGCTTGCCCTAAGCAGAGGCAAAGAAAACCAGTGAGAAACCCCCTAAACAACCCTTAATAGTACTAATGTATAACAGTATTGTTCCATCAGCAGCTACTACCATTGCTGAGCACTTGACATGTACCAGACTTAGTGCTGAGTGTCTAATGTGCAACTCACTGAATTCCTGGAGTTACATGACTGTTTAAATCCCCACTTTACAAAGATCAATAATCAGATTGATTACATTCTTTGCAGCCAAAGATGGAGAAGCGCTATACAGTCAGCAAAAACGAGACCAGGAGCTGACTGTGACTCAGATCACGAACTCCTTATTGCCAAATTCAGACTTACACTGAAGAAAGTAGGGAAAATCACTGAGGTATGACCTAAATCAAATCCCTTACAATTATACAGTGGAAGTGACAAATAGATTTAAGGGACTAGATCTGATAGACAGAGTGCCTGATGAACTATGGACGGAGGTTTGTGACATTGTACAGGAGGCAGCGATCAAGACCATCCCCAAGAAAAAGCAAAATGGCTGTCTGAGGAGGCATTACAAATAGCTGTGAAAAGAAGAGAAGTCAAAAGCAAAGTAGAAAAGGAAAGATATACCCATTTGAATGCAGAGTTCTAAAGAATACCAAGGAGAGAGAAGTGGTTCCTCAGTGGTCCGTGCAAAGAAATAAAGGAAAAAAATAGAATGGGAAAGACTAGAGATCTCTTCAAGAAAATTAGAGATACCAAGGGAACATTTCATGCAAAGATGGGCTCAATAAAGGACAGAAACGGTATGAACCTAACAGAAGCAGAAGATATTAAGAAGAGATGGCAAGAATACACAAAAAAACTGTACAAAAAAGATCTTCACAACCCAGATAATCATGATGCTGTGATCACTCACCTAGAGCCAGACATCCTGGAATGCGAAATCAAGTGGGCCTTAGGAAGCATCACTCTGAACAAAGCTAGTGGAGGTGATGGAATTTCAGCTGAGCTATTTTAAATGCTAAAAGATGATGCTATGAAAGTGCTGCACTCAATATGCCAGCAAATTTGGAAAACTCAGCAGTGGCCACAGCATTGGAAAAAGTCAGTTTTCATTCCAATCCCAAAGAAAGGCAATGCCAAGAATGCTCAAACTACCGCACAATTACACTCATCTCACATGCTAACAAAGTATTGCTCAAAATTCTCCAAGCCAGGCTTCAGCAATACGTGAACTGTGAACTTCAGATTTCAAGCTGGTTTTAGAAAAGGCAGAGGAGCCAGAGCTCAAATTGCCAACATCTGATGGATCATTGAAAAAGCAACAGAGTTCTAGAAAAACATCTATTTCTGCTTTACTGACTATGCCAAAGCCTTTGACTGTGTGGATCACAATAAACTCTGGAAAATTCTGAAAGAGATGGGAATACCAGACCACCTGACCTGCCTCTTGAGAAACCTATACACAGGTCCGGAAGCAACAGTTAGAACTGGACATGGATAGCAGCCATCCTGACTGGCGTGTAATGGTACCCTCATTGTGGTTTTGATTTGCATTTCTCTGATAATGAATAATGTTGAGCATCTTTTCATGTGTTTGTTAGCCATCTGTATGTCTTCTTTGGAGAAATGTCTGTTTAGTTCTTTGGCCCATTTTTTGATTGGGTCATTTATTTTTCTGGAATTGAGCTGCAGGAGTTGCTTGTATATTTTTGAGATTAATCCTTTGTCTGTTGCTTCGTTTGCTATTATTTTCTCCCAATCTGAGGGCTGTCTTTTCACCTTGCTTATAGTTTCCTTTGTTGTGCAAAATCTTTTAAGTTTCATTAGGTCCCATTTGTTTATTTTTGCTTTTATTTCCAATATTCTGGGAGGTGGGTCATAGAGGATCCTGCTGTGATTTATGTCAGAGAGTGTTTTGCCTATGTTCTCCTCTAGGAGTTTTATAGTTTCTGGTCTTACATTTAGATCTTTAATCCAGTTTTAGTTTATTTTTGTGTATGGTGTTAGAAAGTGGTCTAGTTTCACTCTTTTACAAGTGGTTGACCAGTTTTCCCAGCACCACTTGTTAAAGAGGTTGTCTTTTTTCCATTGTATATCCTTGCCTCCTTTGTCAAAGATAAGGTGACCATAGGTTCATGGATTTATCTCTGGGCTTTCTATTCTGTTCCATTGATCTATATTTCTGTCTTTGTGCCAGTACCATACTGTCTTGATGACTGTGGCTTTGTAGTATAGTCTGAAGTCATGCAGGTTGATTCCTCCAGTTCCATTCTTCTTTCTCAAGATTACTTTGGCTATTAGAGGTTTTTTGTATTTCCATACAAATTGTGAAATTATTTGTTCTAGTTCTGTGAAAAATACCATTGGTAGCTTGATAGGGATTGCACTGAATGGCTGCTATCCAAAAGTCTACAAGCAATAAATGCTGGATAGGGTGTGGAGAAAAGGGAACCCTCTTACACTGTTGGTGGGAATGCAAACTAGTACAGCTGCTATGGAGAACAGTGTGGAGATTTCTTAAAAAACTGGAAATAGAACTGCCATATGACCCAGCAATCCCACTTCTTGGCATACACACTGAGGAAACCAGATCTGAAAGAGACACGTGCACCCCAATGTTCATTGCAGCACTGTTTATAATAGCCAGGACATGGAAGCAACCTCGATGCCCATCAGCAGATGAATGGATAAGGAAGCCGTGGTACATATACACCATGGAATATTACTCAGCCATTAAAAAGAATTCATTTGAATCAGTTCTAATGAGATGGATGAAACTGGAGCCCATTATACAGAGCAAAGTAAGCCAGAAAGATAAAGACCATTACAGTATACTAACGCATATATATGGAATTTAGAAAGATGGTAACGATAACCCTATATGCAAAACAGAAAAAGAGACACAGATGTACAGAACAGACTTTTGGACTCTGTGGGAGAAGGCGAGGGTGGGATGCTTCGAGAGAACAGCATCGAAACATGTATATTATCTATGGTGAAACAGATCACCAGCCCAGGTTGGATGCATGAGACAAGTGCTCGTGCCTGGTGCACTGGGAAGACCCAGAGGGATCGGGTAGAGAGGGAGGTGGGGGGGGGATCGGGATGGGGAATACATGTAAATCCATGGCTGATCCATGTCAATGTATGACAAAAACCACTACAATATTGTAAAGTAATTAGCCTCCAACTAATAAAAATAAATGGGAAAAAAAAACTGGACATGGAACAACAGACTGGTTCCAAATAGGAAAAGGAGTATGTCAAGGCTGTATATTGTCACCCTGCTTTTTTAACTTATATGCAGAGTACATCATGAGAAATGCTGGGCTGAGTGAAGCACAAGCTGGAATCAAGATTGCCAGGAGAAATATCAATAACCTCAGATATGCAGATGACACCACCCTTATGGCAGAAAGTGAAGAACTAAAGAGCCTCTTGATGAAAGTAAAAGAGGAGAGTGAAAAAGTTGGCTTAAAGCTCAACATTCAGAAAACTAAGATCACAGCATCCGGCCCCATCACTTCATGGCAAATAGATGGGAAAACAGTGGAAACAGTGGCTGACTTTATTTTTGGGGGCTCCAAAATCACTGCAGATGGTGACTGCAACCGTGAAATTAAAAGACGCTTGCTCCTTGGAAGGAAAGTTATGACCAACCTAGACAGCATATTAAAAAGCAGAGACATTATTTTGCCAACAAAGGTCTGAATAGTCAAGGCTATGGTTTTTCCAGTGGTCATGTATGGATGTGAGAGTTGGACTATAAAGAAACCTGAGCACCGAAGAAATGATGCTTTTGAACTGTGGTGTTGGAGAAGACTCTTCAGAGTCCCTTGGACTGCAAGGGGATCTAACCAGTTCATCCTAAAGGACATCAGTCCTGAGTGTTCATTGGAAGGACTGATGCTGAAGCTGAAACTCCAATACTTTGGTCACCTGATGCAAAGAGCTGACTCATTTGAAAAGACCCTGCTGCTGGGACAGATTGAGGGCAGAGGAGAAGGGGACAACAGGGGATGAACTGGTTGGATGGCATCACCAACTCAGTGGACATGAGTTTGGGTAAACTCCAGGAGTTGGTGATGCTAGCACACTGCAGTCCATAGGGTCACAAAGAGTCGGACACGACTAAGCGACTGAAGTGAACTGAACAAAGATCCAAGTCTTAGGAAGGAAATGGGCCCAAGCTTACATTAGGGAGCTGGGAGCCAGAAGTTGGACTCAGTCAGCCTGCTCCCTGCTCTTTATCTCTTTTCCTAAAGAATCTAAATTAAATCAGGAATTCCTGAAAGCACTCCTGCTGTCACCTTGGGCTACAGGAAGCCCTGCCATGAAATTGGTAACAGTGTCACAGGGGATTGGATTAATGGCTAGTTTCTGGGCACCATTTTGTCTAGATCAACACCACTGTCAGCATTGCAGAATTCACTCTAGTCACGCTTTTTTTTTTTTTTTTTACTTAATACATGCATGAAGTCTTTTTTAAAAAAAGATTTTTGAAAAAATATTAAGATATAGTGTACATACATCCTCTTTATAAAGTGTACAATTCTTTAAGTTTAGTCAGGCAGCCAACAGTACCATCAGGATATAGTATATATATTCCCATCATCCCCAAATATCCATGGCATCCCTTTGTAGTCAAGCCTTTACCCTTGCCCCTAGGGTATAATACTGATCTATATTCCTGTAGTTTATCTTTTCCAGAATGTCATATAAATTCATACATCATATTCTTTTCAGTGTGGCTTCTTTCACTCACTCAGTGTATCTGGGATACATCCATGTGTCTCCTTATACTGTGAATATTGCCTTTTTATAGTGGGCTTGGAGGCCTAGCATGCTGCAGTCCATGGGGTCGCAAGAGTCTGACATGACTGAGAGACCGAACTGAACTTTCATAGCCAGTTCTCCTGGATTATCTTTAGAATTTCTATGTTCTAAAGAGACTGTTTTCATAATTTACTTTGTATCAATAAATGGATCTTTGCAGAGGCCTGTTTTACTTCTGGCTCCTGCCATGGTCAAGTA